TCTATACAGTTAGAATTTGCGAACAGTGATGAGTGTGTCTACACTTGCAGGTACTACCACTATCACCCTGTTGTTTATTGATTTGCTCAAGCGAGCATCAGTAATGTCTCGATTTGTCACTGTCACGTGCTAGTATAGCCCGATGGCATATTGGGGGCATATTGGGGGCTCCTTCAGGGTCAGGGGAATGAGGACCATTCATTGTTACTGTTTTTGACATACCGAGTGTGCCATGGGTAGCTTGCCAGGCTCTGCTGTGCAGGCAGGATACTCTCGGTAGCTTGCCGGGCTCTCCGAGAGGGATGGAGGCTTTTGGGGCAGCCTCTAATTATCTTGACAGGTGTTCCCAGTCTGGCATATATGTGGGCAAGATACTCTTGGTAGCCTGCCGGGTTCTCTGAGTGCGAGAACTAGACAACAAGAGGTTGTTGTAGGTACATGTCTGAAAAACTTGCCCCTCATAAAGACTCTGCATGTACAAGGTGGTCACTACACAGACACAAATGAAGGAAGTGTTCACCACTAACATAGCAACACACCAGTAAAACTCAAAGTATACTAAGTAAAGTGCAAAGGAGTATCTCAAGTATTAAATCAATAAGTAAGGGTCCTCGTGGAATAAAGAACATGAAGAGTTCTCCAAATAACATTGAGCCAGTCTTTTTTGGCAACTGCAGTACTGAGTTCCAGCTAAATTGGGGATATTTTCTCCAAAGACTTGGAAGAGAGTGCTGATTTTATTTTCAATTTTAGACCAGCAGGACTGATTAATGATTCTAAGTGGTTAAGTATAAATGGTAAGTATAGAGATACCTACGAAGCAAGAGAGAACTGTGTAAAATATGACTGTAATTTCAATATGACAAAGCATAAATTTGACACCTAATAAAAATAACATATTATCAGGGAACTCCTTGCTTCCCCAAATGTAGATCTGACTTCCATCTCCACCGTCAGCATTTCTGCTTCCTTACAGCCTGTCTCCCTGCTGGATTGCTAGGCGGCTTTGCACTTCAAACTCACACCAATTGAAAATAAAGGTAACAAAGTTTTGTTCATCAACAGCCTGTAGGCTCACAAAATTGAACCTGTTCTTTTATCTGCCTGTGTTCATTTAGCCCACCAAGCAGTCTTTATTAAAGCTGAGGCATCAGGCAGTCAAAGTTCATTAATACCATTTATATAATCTCTGCAGTTTCAATTAACTCAGCAAGACATTCTCCTACATGATAACAGTCTCATTAATTCAATAAAATCCCATAACTATTAACAATATGGTCGATGTTAAACGGGGTGTCACCTAGTACAAAATAATAGCTTTAACAGCTTGTGATGAAACTCAAGGTCTTTTTCTTCAATTTGATCTGGCTTGAACAGTCAGTCCTTTTCTTCAAGGTATCTCTCTGCACAGAATCTATAGTATTTTAAACATGCCTAGGTCATAATTTTATAAGTGATGTCCAGAAGCACTTAATAATCATTTTTACTCGGTAATGGACCGGCTGCCCAAACTATCAAGAATCTGATCTCCCACACTGCAGGCCAATCTTCCTTACAGACGAACAGGGAGTGACCCACATACATCAGGCAATGACATGCGCAGTTACATTTTTTGCTCCCTGTCCATGTAGCATGCTTCTATTATAATACTACTTCTTAAAATCTCCATTCCTTTCTTTCTCTGAAGAAAAAGAGAAAATGTGTAATTTGGGGTACTTTTTTTTAAAACTGGGCCTCCCAATCTGAGCTCTTGAGATCGAGGCCCCAACAGCCAGACTGGACCAACCAGCTTGGGGGATCCATGCTGGTGGCCCTGGGTGTTCAAGCTGCTTCTCCTGCTCTCCCTGCAGTGTCAGGGGCCTCCAGGGCTGCCCCTGGCCGGGCTCCGGGGGCCACGTGGTGCCGGGAATTGAAACTAACCTCTGGTCACTCTCCCGTTTCCACCACTGAGAGAATTTCATTTATTTATTCATTTCTGTCTTTGGGCCCACACCCAGCAGTGTTCAGGGCTTGCTCCCTGGCTCAGTAATCACTCCTGGCAGTGCTGCGGATCAAAACCAGGTAGGGTGCGTGGAAGACAAGTGGTTTACCTGCAGGTACTATCTCTCTCTGCCCCAATTTTCTTGTTAATTAAGTCATCCCTAATTTTTTTTAGTGTTATGTAATCTCAAATACTTGAAAGAGAATGAGGGGGCATGAAGGAGAGAGTTTTGATGACAAAAGCCAACACAATGAAAACAAAACAAAACAAAAAAACAAACCTGGATCACTGATAAAGTTTCTGAGCTACTGAACTAGTCAATGCTCCAGAGTCATTCTGTACCCCTCTCCATGCCCCCAACTTCTTGCAACATATGCTAGTAAACAGACTAAGTCATTTTGAGTGGGATTTTCTATTTCTTGTTTCTTACAAATGCTATGCTAATAGCAATTTATTTTCCCCCAATCTGGTCTTTGATTTGTTTTTAATATTTATATTCTTTCCTTGGTATTTTTACAAATTTCAGTTTTTACATTTACATCTTTACTTCTTTTGGCATTTATTACCCACGAAAGGTACTTAATCTTCTCTCTGTGTGGAAAATCACCAGGCTAGTGATTATCCTTCCCCAGTAAATAAAAATGTCCTGATAAGAATATTCCGTACTCTTGGGGCCAGAGTGATAGGACAGTGGGTTGGGCATTTGTCTTGCATGTGATTGACCCAGGTTCAATCACTAGCATCCCATATGGTCCCCGAAGCATAACTAGGAGTGACTCTTGAGTGCAGAGCCAGGAGTAATCTGAGCATCACTGGGTGTTACTCCACACACACACAAAAAATTTTTAGAAAGAATATTACATATTCTTACTATATTAAGATTGCATGTATTCAGACAAGTTCTTAGTTTGTTACAGTGAGAAACTTGTAGATTCCTCTACTATCACCACATTGTTTTGTTCATAGAATTTTTATAGAAGTCTCCACATCTCCCTTTGCCATTCCCTCCTTAATCTAAATTCAGTGGTAACTCCAACACATCTGAATGATGACAATATAATTAACTATCACTACCACCAACATGAACTGAGCAAGTACTAGCTTTTTCAACTGCAAAGTTGAAGCTCTGATTGCTCTCATTTTACAGATAATGAGTCTAGGGATTAGAAAGTTAGCTAAGTAACTTGTCTATTATGTACCTAATAAATGGTGGAGCTATAATTTAAATGAAGTATTAGTGTCTACACCTACTGCTTTTAACTACTAAGGTATATTACCTCCCTTAAAATTATTAAGATTTTAGGAGATAAATTTAAAATAGGATGTCCACTGCTGAAGAGGCACAACTGTCAGATTCTTATTGGAATAATAATGTTTATTTACTCATTTGGTAAGAAGCAATATTTTTATTGAATGGTCTGCAATCTAAAACCATGTTATCACTTTTCCATATACAAATTGACCTATGTCCTTAAACAGTATTGTTTTTGTACTGATATTTTGAATTTACTTTTTAACATTATACAGTTTTTCTTCTATGAAAGTGACATTTTTTTTCCACTTCCCACTCTTTCCTATTACCAAGTTTATTTTAAATTAAATGCATTGTTATTACCATACAGATGTTCTATTAAAATGGTTAGTTGGTTACCTCTTGGATATGTCATCATTCCAGAGTCTCAGAGAATTACTAATTTGTGGGGGTTGATATTGGGTTCTACTGGGGGTGTTTAGGACTTACTCCTGGCTCTGTGCTCAGGGATCACTCATGACAGGTACTGGGGGCCATATGGGGTGCTAGCAATCACACCTTGGCCAACTAAATGTAAGGCAAGTGCCCTACCCACTGTACTATTTCTCCAGCCCCAGGGAATTACTGATCTGATTCAAATTCCCACTTATTATATACTTGGAGAATACATTAAATAAAAAACAGTATGTGGGACAGGGGGCTGGAGCAATAGCACAGCAGTAGGGAGTTTGCCTTGCATGCAGCCAGCCCGGCTGAGCTAGGTTCGATTCTTCTGCCCCTCTCGGGGAGCCCAGCAAGCTACCGAGAGTATCTCGCCCGCATGGCAACCTACCTGTGACGTATTCAATATGTCAAGCACAGTAACAACAAGTCTCAAAATGGAGATGTTACTGGGCCCGCTTGAGCAAACTGATGAACAACGGGAGGAGTGTGTGTGTGTGTGGGGGGGGGGGGCGGTGGGGGGCAGGAGAGATAGAATAGCACAGTGGGTAAGGTGCTTGCGACCAATCAAGGTTTGGTTGGCATTATGTATGGCCCTCCAAGCACCATCAGGAGTAATCCTGAACAGAGATCAAGGAGTAATTCCTTAGCAGAAACAGGTAAGGTTAATCTCCTCCACTTTCAAGTTTTTATGTAGATATGCATTTTGAGTAGAATCAGAACCTTTAGAAAAATCCAGATACTTTATTATACATTACACAATCTATTACATAAATTAACACACGTTTCTATTGAAATAAAACATAATCAAATTTTTCTTAAATACCGAGATGAATAAAAACAAAAGGATCCTTTAAATAAACTGGGTAAAAATTTCAAAAAAAAAAATTAAGAGGGATTTTTCTGAGGTCATGTGACAGTAAAATGTAAAGAGCAAAAGGACAGCAGATTATTTCTTTTATATGGCATGTCACATATTTATAGATGCTGGGCTTAGAAACATTGTTTATACATACAACTCTGAAAAGTTTTATTACAAGATTGGCTTCAAAGATGCTGTTTATAAACAAACTCCCAAAAGTTGAAAGAAAAGATTGAACGCCTTCTCGAAGACAATTTGGTGGAATGTCTTATAATCAGGAAGAAGCATATGTGCTTCAATGAGCTTACTTTTCTCACCATGCAGCTGACAAGCAGCTCTTTGATTGCTTTACTATTATGATACAACTTTGGATACAATAAAGGCTACATTATTGCTCTATCATTTGTCAAGCTGTATAGAAAATTTTGAGTCAATGGATGCCACCTGTACCATATTTTCATTACCTGTTTATAAAGCAACTGCTCGTTTTCTCTAGCATAACAGAAAAGAACATCTGTAAGAATTTTTCTCACATTTTCTTGTTGGAAAAACTGCATTTCAGGAAACCTGAAAAAAAGAAAACAGAAAATTGTCACTGACTAGCAAAAGCCTAAGAATTACCTGCAAACTCTCATCCGTGTACGATGCCCAGGGCTCTGTTAAGTTTTAGTGCAAGTCTGTATTTGCCAACAACCTATGCCATTGTCAGGCATGACAGGTTATGGGAAAGAAGGTGAGAGATGGGGAAATATACCACAGGGGTAATGATGCTCTTCAACATCCAAACATCTCAAATGTCTTCATATGTGGAAAGCCATTACATGGTGAACACCATTTTTAAGAAAAATAAATTACAGCCTACGCATTTAGGGCAGGGATTTGCTTTACTCAAATAAAATTAAATGAGCTGATCTTGCTTTTTTGGTGGAGTGGGGGGTGGGCACACCTGGTGCTTGGGGGTCACACCCGGCCTCATGCTTGTGTGTGGTTCACTCTGTTAGGGGCTCGAGACCATGTGACATCAGGGACCAAATCAGGTCCCTTAAGCCCTTTCAGCTACCTCCCCAGATCCTAACATTTTCTTCCCCCTTCTCCATCTTCCCTTCCCCTCCTACGTAGGCTCTTATTCTTCCCCTCCTCTTCCTCCTTCTCTTTCCCCTTCTCCTCTCCTTCCCATACCTTCCCTTCCCTCCTTCCTGAAGATCAAATCCAGATCTCAAGCAAGGATGAAAAATACTTAACCTCTAAATCACATCCCCAGCCCAATTTCTTTGTTTTAACTATTTGCTTTGCAGAACCAGAATGTGACTTTTCTAAGTAATGACCTTCAGAAAAAAAATCAAAATCATTGAACTTTTCGATGTAAAAAAATGTAAACGACTTCGAGGATTTCCATTATTAAATGACCACCCCGTCTGCTTTATCTAATTAAAATGTAGACTTCAAATGGCATAGAAGAGTATTGCTTAAATGCCCTTTGGGTCAAAATTCTATGAGGTGCTCTGAGGTAAAATAATTTTTTTAAAAAAAGTAACAAATATCCACTTGGAAGGAATTTAAACAGATATTTATGATGCAAAAAAAAGTATAATTTCGATGACCTGAAAAAGCAAATGCTTTCATACAGTACAATTTATTGTATTGTATTGTCTTGTATTTTATACAATACAATTTATACAATCCAATTTATACAATACAATAACCAATGGGCAGTAAAGGACCCAAGGTAAAATGTCAAATTCTCTAAAAGTAAAATAACAACTGGGTACAATCACAAAAGGTCTGAGCAAGAATTTTTAGAAGAGGAACCTACAGTATCAGTGGGGAAGGCAACCACAATAGAGGCAAATGAGGATTCCCAGTGTCCTGTACACAATGTACTGATCGATGAGTGATAAGAAAGAAAAGTACTGCTGCGAAATACTACCAGGTAGGACAAGCAGAACGGAAGAAAGGATTGGGCAGATCTGGAAAGAACCAAATGTACAACTGAGGAAGAGCAACACAGCGAGGGCATTTTGAACAGGGGAAGAAACAAAAAATGATACTATCAGAGCAACTCTAACGTGTGAATCAGCCCGAAAGAGGAACGATTACAGGAAGGCGCAAAGAGGGCATAATAACGAAGTAAAATGGAATAATCACAAACCTGAGAAGAAAAGCCTGTGTTCAAATTCCTGGTGCATAATTGCTAGCTGCATAACCCTGAGTAAATGATTGCTGAACTGCCTCATCTATTAAGCAGAGATAATAACACTGATCTTGGGATCCAGATGAGATAATGTGAAAGTACCAAGAACAGTGCCTGGCAAGTCGTAGAAGCTCAGGAACAGAGGTCGTTATTAGCCTTTGAGTACTGGTACTTTAGGTGAAGATAAGAACTAAGTGCTGGAGAGCTTGAAAACGAAGCTATGAAGGATGGAAGCGGGAAAGTCCTAACACATAGAGGTGCATGGCATTACTGAACAGAAAGATACTCTTTAACATGACTTTCAGGAGCAATAATCGTTGTTCTTTTATTTTTTTTCCTTTTTGGGCCACACCCAGCAATGTTCAGGAGTTACTCCTGGCTTTGCACTCAGGAATTACTCCTGGTTGGCTCAGGGAACCATATGGGATACCGGGGATCGAACCCAGGTCGGCCGCATGCAAGGCAAACACCTTACCCTCTTTGCTATTGCTCTCACCCCAGTAATCTTTGTTCTACTTCATATTAGAATGCTTTACTGCCTCCAATCTCTAGGAGCTCAGCTGTTTAATTCTCATCTCTTCATCGTCATCTTCGGGCTTGCTGTGAGCACTCTTAACTTCCTCTCCAGTTCAGGCTGACTTCCTGGATACTACACTAGTGATTTGTGAAACAGCTCTTCTGGAACCCATCCCCCTCTGCCCTCCGGGGGCCTACACTTGGTAGTGCTCAGGGATTGTCATGGTTCTTTCAAGGGTTATCAGGATCTATCATGCTGGGGATGGAAACCAGGGTTGGCCGCAGACCCTTGAATCCAATTTTTCAAACACAGACTATCGCCATGTATTCACTTGGCTTTTGCCTGAGAAACTCTGGTGTCCAACTGCCCCAGACTTAAGTACTCTATCTTTCTTAAACAAGATGAACTCTCTTGGGGGTGCGGTGGGGGAGGGGATGGTAGGGGGCACAATAAATGACTCTTTGGTTTGGTTTTAGTAAACTGATCTGACTTCTCTGTAGAGATCTCACTGCCAAGACCCTCCAGAGAACCCCTACTTTGGGAATCTGAGCAGGTTCAGTGACCTTAGCGCCTAAAGAGAAAAATTAATCTAAAAATATATTCAGAGCAAGAATAGCTCATCACAGAAGCCAAAGAAGTTCCATAAAGATGACAAATGTACTGAAGTAAGAGTTACTAAAACCCTTAGAAAGTCAAATATCTCAAACTAATCAGGAGGAAAGAAGGGCAAGTAATTAATGAAAGAAATGGCTGAAGAGAAACTCCTTGGGAAAACTTAGTCATTAAGGTATAAATGGTAGAATAAGGTAAAATAATCCTTTTGAGAGATAAAATTGTTTCCCTTCTCCTTCACTGGTTGGATTCAATCTAGTCCGGTTCTTAAGCATGTAAAATGATACAGATTATATGGTTAAATGATTTTGTATGCCTCCTTCTTCAACATTGTTTTGAAATGTTTCAGGGAACACATAATCTAATTCTTTGCAATTGTTGCAATCTGAATGGGTTGTGGAGAAAGTACTAAAATCATATATTCACAGGTAGTGTAGTACCAGGCTTAATACCTAACTAGTAAAAATGTAAATTATATTATATGCCAACTCATAATTTCATTTAAATACAAATGAAACAATGGGAGTACTTAAAACTAGAAATTTACAAGAATTAAATTGCAGGTAGATCATTTAAGTTTGCCAATTTGAACAGATATTCAATCCACTGAATATGTGCATCAGACAGCATATCTGAGTCACAGCGCCACCTATAATCCTACTCTCTGGTGCGAAATTACCAATTTATGAAGTTTCACACTCAGAGAGCCCGGCAAGCAACTAAGAGTATTCGATATGCCAGACACAGTAACAACAAAGTCTCCAATGGAGACGTTACTGGGCCCACTCGAGCTAATCGACGATCAACGGGAGGACCTTTACCTTTACCTTTACCACACTCTTAAAAAAGGTAACTCATTTTCTTTTTTCTTTTTCCCTTTCTTTCTTTTTTTAAACACCAACTTCATTTTTGCTCTTGGGAGTCACAGCCAGTGATGTTCAGGGGTTACTCATGGCTCTGCACTCAGGAGTTACTCCTGGCGGTGCTTGGGGGACCATGGGATGCCGGGGATTGAATCCGTGTTGCAAGACAAATGCCCTCCCTGCTGTACTATTGCTCTGGCCCTGTAGCTCATTTTCTAAATTTTGATAAAGAATCCATAGAGATCAAGAAACAAAGGAAGAAAGAAAATAAGAAAGAAAGAAAGAAAGAAAGGAAGGAAGGAAGGAAAAGAAAAGAAGAGAAGAGAAGAGAAAAGAAAAGAAAAGAAAAGAAAAGAACAAACAAAAGAGAAACAGAATCTAAGACCTGGGCTAATGAATGGAGTTTATCATTGATTGGGGGGGTAGGGATGTGTGTCTTGAGGTGGGGGAAGGGAAGCATTTAGGGGACTCTAAGACAATGGTGGAGGGAAACTGATGGTGGAAAGACACACTGCTGCCAGGTGCAGTGTTAGATGCATGAGACATTACCATGTCAGTATTGTAAAATCATAAATGGTGATAACAAAAATAAATCTCTTTGTTGCTGTTGTTGTTTGGGGGCCATACACCCACGGTTCTCAGAAATTACTCCTGGTTCCACACTCAGGAATCACTCCTGGCAGTGCTCAGGGGAACATATGGGATGCCGGGGATTAAACCTACCGAGCTATACTATCTCTCGTCCTCCCTAAAAACAAAATTTTAATTAAAGAAATAATATTTCAGAAGTTGAAAAAGGAACTGATAGTAGAGAAGTTTTACTCTGAGTGTTTGGAGATTATCAAGTTGAATTTCAAAATTACTGGGTAAGGACACTGAATCAAGAGATCAGTATCTGCTCTTTTAAATTATAAACTAGTAACAGGCAATCCTGCTTGCAAAATAGCATGAATACATATGTATATTTAATATATTTGTTTCTGGCCCACACCCAGTGGTGCTCATGGGTCACTCTCGCAGAGTTTGGGAATTCCACGGATCCAATCTGGGTTGGCTGTGTGCAGGGCAAGTGCGCTATCTGCAGTGCAATCTTTCCAGACACAGTGTGATTATTGTTTTCATTATTATTATAATAAAATAAGAGTCCTATCTGGTAGTTCCTGCATTTGGTCATAGAATTAAAATGCCGATGGTAAATGGGTCAGGTTGATCACAGAGATCAAAAGCAAAGAGAAAATAACACTAAAGTATTCAAGGATGAGATTTAGATTAATACAATCTAAGGTTATTTACTTGACAAAAGAGCGATACCTTAGCTTTAGCTTATTACCTAAAATATAACTGTTTTAAATGTCCACAAGACATGTGATGGAACTCAGACGAA